CCTTTTTATGTTGAAGGTGAACCATACGACATTGATTTAGCTATAGATATTTCACAAGGACTCAGAGAAAGTATCATACCGGGTACGCCTAAAGATTATGTAAAGATTTATACTGGTAAAGACTATTATTAATTATGAATTATAAATTTAATTTAAATTTAAAATTTAATGTTTTCGATAACTAAATTGTTTTTATGCGTTTAGAGTGCTGGGACAATGAGCCTGACAAACGTCCGTCTATGAACAAAGTAGTTGATGAGTTATATGCAATTATTACAAAAGAAACCATAATAGAGAATGATCAAATGAATAATAAAGAATCAAACCTTCAATTGTCACTTAATTCTACTATTAACAATTCATTACATGGGGAATTATCTCGAATGATTCAAAATTTTAATCAAATGAATGCAGAAGAATTAGAATCAAATATTGAAGTATCAGATATAATTTATGATGATATTATTGAAAGTTTAACGATTACGGAATTTAATAAGGATGACGTATTAAACGTCTTAGGAGGATTGCAAAGATATCAGAAATTAAAAGTACTCAATTGTAGTAATACTCAAATAAATAGCTTACCAACTTTACCCGACTCCTTAACGAATCTTTATTGCCATCTAAATCAAATAAATAGCTTACCAACGTTACCCGATTCCTTATCAATACTCAAATGTAGTAATACACAAATAAATAGCTTACCAACTTTACCCGATTCCTTAACAAAACTCGGTTGTGATAATACTCAAATAAATAGCTTACCAACTTTACCTGATTCCTTATCAATACTCAGTTGTAGTAATACTCAAATAAATAGCTTGCCAATTTTACCCGATTCCTTATCAATACTCAGTTGTAGTAATACTCAAATAAATAGCTTACAAACTTTACCCGATTCCTTAACAAAACTCTATTGTAATAATACTCAAATAAATAGCTTACCAACTTTATACAATTCCTTAACATTACTCGAATGTAATAATACTGAAATAAATAGCTTACCAACTTTACCCGAATCTTTATCAAAACTTAATTGTAGTAATACTCAAATAAATAGCTTACGAACTTTAACCGACTCCTTAACGGAACTCAAATGTAGTAATACTCAAATAAATAGCTTACAAACTTTACCTGATTCCTTAACAATACTCGAATGTAGTAATACTCAAATAAATAGCTTATCAACTTTACCCGATTCCTTAACTATACTCTATTGTAATAATACTCAAATTAATAGCTTACCAACTTTACCCGACTCCTTAACGGAACTCTATTGCAATAATACTCAAATTAATAGCTTACCAACTTTACCCGATTCCTTAACAATACTCGATTGTGATAATACTCAAATATATATCTTACCAACTTTACCTACCTCCTTAACAAAACTCAGTTTTAATAATACACAAATAAATAGCTTATCAACTTTACCCGACTCCTTAACGGAACTCTATTGCAATAATACTCAAATTAATAGCTTACCAACTTTACCCGATTCCTTAAAAAAGCTCTGGTGTTTTGATACATAAATAAGTAGATTACCAAATTTACCCGACTCCTTAACGAGTATTAAACCTGAATCATTAAAAAACTCAACGCCTCAATAAAATCCTACTAAATTAAATAACTCCTATTACAAATAATAACAAGAACCAATTTTATCAATTTTTCTTTAGACATTTTCTTCTCGACTTTATATCTTTATTTCCTATTTTAATAGAATTTGATTTACCTCTAAAAAAATAAATTCCAAAATAAACTTATCCCAATATTAAATATAATGTAAAATTTTTTTACTAATAAATAGTTTTCTTATTATAATATGTTTATTTGAAGGAGATACAAACCATCAAATAAACAAATACTCTTTGGTTTTAGAGTATGCCGATGTTGGTACGCATTATGATTATTTAATAAAATATTTTAATGACCTTGATTGGAATGAGCTTTACAATTTGCAAGTGCTGTAGAATGTATGCATGATTTTGACATAGTTCATTGCGATTTGGTTGGTAGTAATTAACTTGGTAATTGTTTCTTTTCTTATTTGTTATTATTCTTAATAAAAGAGTTCGTTTTTTTTTTTATGATTATAGCACGCAAAAAAATATACTTATACATCAAAAAAGCATTAAATTAGCAGACTTTGGCTTATCAAAGAAGAATCGAGCTATATTGCCTTATGTAGATCCAAAAGGTTTAAAAGGTTTAAATGAAAAGAACCAAAATTAAAAAATCTGATGTCTATATTATTGGAGTTTTGATGTGGCAGATTTCAAGTGGACGTCAGCCATTTTATTTCGAAGGTGTTGATTATGATTTAAGGTTAGCTTTGAATATAATAAATGGAGAAAGCGAAGAAATTATTGATGGAACTCCTACTGAATATAGTAATATATATCAAGGTAAATAAATTAATATTTTTATTTATTTGAAATGAATTCGGAATTCGAACCATTATTTATATTTATTTAATTAGAATGTTGGAAGTATGAACCAGTTTAGCGTCCTATTATGCAAAGAGCCGTTTCGAACATTAAATCAAAAGAAAATAATTCATTTATGGAAGATAAATTCAGTGTTAAGTCAAGCAAATATACTTTTGATTTAAATAAGGATTTAGTAATCGATTCTAAGGGTTATTCAATTAATACCGTTAAATATGAGAGCAGTTTACATAGTCAAGAATCTTTTCAATCTATTCTATATTCCGAAAATAATTCTTCAAATACAATTTTTAAAGTTATAAATTTATCGAAAGACTCCTTTGAGTCGAAATTTATAAATGATGATATAACTATTAATAAGTTAATTAAATATGTTATTAAGAAACATGACGAAGGTATTGCTTTCGATCATATTAAACAACTTATTGAAAAACAAATATTAATATTAAGCAAAACTAATCATAATCTTTTAAATTGGCTTAAAAAAATCAAAATAAACAACAATAATTTGGTTTCTTGGATTTCTTTATTATCATAATTTTGGTATAGATGATAATTGTGCCAAAGCGTTTGAATTATTTTTAAATATAGCAGTAAATAAATTTTCAATCTTACAAGTTTATTTCGCTAAATGTTATTATCATAGATGTGGAATTAAATGTAATAAAAAGTTATCATTTAATTGGTATCAGAAATCTGTGGAAAATGGAAGCATTATTAGGTAATTTTATTTATCACATTGCTATAAATTTGGTATTGAAACACAACAAAACAAAACGAAATCAGTATATTGGTATCACAAAGCAGCTAACAATGGAAATATCGTTGCAAAATTTCATCTTGCAAATTGTTTTAAATTAGAAATGGAATTTAAAAAAATGAAATTAAAGCGTTTAAATATTATGAAATTTTAGTCAAACAAAAATTGCTGATGCTCAAAATCAACTTGGAAATTGTTTTTATAATGGAATCGGAACAAAATTAGATAATGTACAAGCTTGTTGCTGGTATGAAAAAGCGGCATATAATGGGCATATTTTTGCAAAACATATTCTTGAACAAAATTTTAATAAAAAATTAATTATTAAAAAAAAAAAGATAAAAATGCTAAATATTATAAAACAATATACTTTGAAGGATTAAGGAAAATAGGAATGAATAATTATGATGGAATCGGAATAATGCAAAACTATGAAAAAGCATTTATTATTTTCAAAAAGCCGCAAAAAGTGGAAATAAAATTGCACTATATAATTTAGGTATTTTGTTATAAAAATGACGAAGGTATTAAAAAACATAGTATAAAAGCTTTTGAATTTTCAAAAAGTCAGCTTAACAAGAATATATACATGCACAATTCCAGCTTGGATATTGTTATGACATGGGATATGGAATTGAATTTAATTTTTATCAAATAGCAGCTGAAAATGAATACAATTTAGCTCAAAATAATCTTGGAAACTTATATAAAAATGGTGAAAGTATAGAAAAAAAATATAGAAATTGCTTTTTATTGGTATCAAAAAGCAGCTGAAAATGGAAGTAATATTGCACAATATAACCTTGATTTGTTATATGAAGAAAAGAATTTTAAAAAAGCCTTTTATTGGCATCAAAAGGCAGCTAAAAATGAATATAATGCTGCACAAAATAATCTTGTTAATTTATATAAAAAAGGTGAAGGTATAGAAATAAATTTAGAAAAAGCTTTTAATCAAAAAGAAGCTGAAAATGGATATGATATTGCACAATTTAATCTTGGTTGTTTATATGATATTGGTATAAAGAAAGACTTAAAAAAGGCCTTTTACTTGTATCAAAAACAGCAGATAATGAATTAACTATTGCACAAAATAGTCTTGGCTATTTATATGAAAGAGGCGAAGGTATAGAAAAGAAATTAGAAAAAGCTTTTTATTGGTATCGAAAGGCAGCAGAAAATGGACTAACTATTACACAAAATAATCTTGGCTAATTATATGAAAATAGTGAAGGTATCAGAAAGCAGCTGATAATGGCATAATATTGCATAATTAATCTTAGTATGTTATATGAAAAAGGTTAAGGTACAGAAAAGAATTTTCAAAAACCTTTTATTGGTATCAAAAGGCAGCTGAATATGAATATGATGCTGCACAAAATAATCTTGCTAATTTATATAAAAACAAGGGTGAAGATACAGAAAATAATTTAGAAAATCCTTTTACTGATATTAAAAAGCAGCTGAAAATGGATATGATGTTGCATATAAGGTTGTATCGGTCTGGTCCAAAAGACCGGTCTTTCATCTTTCTTTGGACCGGACCGGTCCATAAGTCAGTCAAGAACCGGTCCTAAGACCGGTCTTGTACCATTCGGTCCTACCAGTCCAGTCCGGTCCAAGATTTGTTTTCTTCTCGAACCAGACCGATTTATAAGACTGGTCCATAACATATTCACCTGAATTATACATATAAAATGATCAATTTAATAAAATAATTGTATTAATTTAATAATAATAATTGCATACGAAACGATTACTGCGCCTTCTTAAAATCCATTTCAGATATTTTCATTTCGTTACAGTAAAATAATAGCACAGGTCTAAGGACTGACTATAGACCAGTCCGTTCCTCGATCAAATTGATCTTGATTTGTTATATGTAAAAGGTGGAGATATAGAAAAGGATTTAAAAAAGTCTTTTATTTGTGTCAAAAACATTGACAATGAATGTAATATGCACTAAATAATCTTGGCTATTTATATGAAAAAGGCAAGGTACAGAAAAGGATTTAAAAAAGCCATGTATTTGTATCAAAAAGCAGCTGAAAAAGGATGCAAAGCTGGACATTATAATTTGGGTGAATGTTAAAATTAGGTAATGCTGAAAACATTTGATTATTATCAAAAGACTGCTAATCAAGGAGACTTAAATTTTCAACTTGGATATTGCTACATAAATGGAATTGTGACAGGATTGAATTATATAATGAGGCAGCCGGAACAAAAGATTTTGAAGTGCATAAATTATCGTATAATAAACTAACGAGTGATCTGGATAGCTGCACTGATGATAATAAAGTTGCATTATACAATTTAGGTAAAATTTATGAAACAGGAAAAGGATTGATATAAATTTGGATAGAGCATTTGAATTTACTAAGAAATCGGCTAATCAAGGATATTTGGATCCCTATGGACTGATGAGTCTAATTCTTTCTCATAGCACGCACGAACCTGAGGAAACGACAATTATTAGATTCGGAGAATTATTTATACACAATTTTCAGAATTTTTCATACTACTTCGTGTTCTACGGAGAAGAAATAAAAATTAATTAAAGGTAAAACGTCCTATATTTTAAATTATTTCTTAAAAGGTTTAAATTAACGTTGTATATTAAGAATAAAAAATTCATCAAACATCATCTTTCTTATATTCTTCAACTCGAGGCAGTACGAACCTCCCATTTGAATTTACAATCATACATTTTATCACATTGAAATATCAAAATTAAATTATAAGTATCGCACAATTTAATTTTTAGGATCGTTTTATAAAGACCAAATACTGTATATGTTTATTGCCGATCAAAATGGATATATAAGAACAATAGTTCGATCAACAATGGATTTGCAAAATTTTTTTCTCCAATTTTACAATTTTTTTAGGAGTAATGTCAACAAAATTTTTTCCAAAGTTAAGTCAAAATTACATCGAAATATTAGATGACGACGAATATTATGATATTACAATCGAAGTTGGAGAAGATCCAAATGTGAAAATATTTCGTGCTCACATGATTATTTTATGTTATCGTTCTCCATTTTTGCGACGAACCCTGGCTTCCAATAAGAAAAATAACGACAACGTACTAACTCATGTTAAATTACCAAACATTTCACCAGAAATCTTCCAAATTATTTTGAAGTAAGTTATATATTTAAAGCTATGGCATTGTTATCTTCTTACATTTATAATGACCTTAAATTTTTTATAACATAAATACATTTATGGTGGGATTATTTCATTAAGTGGTAATGAACAAACATTGAAAATTTTGGCAGCTGCTAATGAACTTCATCTTCAAGAACTAATTGAATATTTACAAAAGTATTTAATCGAAAATAAAGTTGAATGGATTGAACAGCATTTTGAGCTTGCTTACAGAATAAGCTTTCAATCCAATTTTTTATCAGAACTTCAAAAAATATGTACAGATATTATTTCTAAATCACCCGAAAAAGTATTCAAATCACTTGACTTTACTTCGCTTCCTGAAAAATCGTTAATTTCACTTATTAAAAGAGACGACTTACAAATGAAAGAAGTTGATGTTTGGGAGCATGTAATAAAGTGGGGTCTTGAGAAAAATCCTACACTCGCTCCAGATCCTATAACTTGGTCAGATGAGGATGGAAAATACTTTGCAACATTGTTTACCATTAATCAGGTTTTACAGTTTATCTTCTAAAAAATTTGCCAAAAACGTACGTCCGTATAAAAAACTTTTAAATCCTCAACTCTATGAGAATTTAATAAATTCTTATTTGGATTCTGATAGTGTACCAATCGATAGTATTTTACTCCCTAGACATAAAGATATTGATGATATTATGGATTCAAATATTGTTAATTTAAATATTGTTTCTATAATTTCAAGATGGATTGATAACATAGATATTAAGAGCAAGTTTGCTCATTTAAGAGAATTTTATTTACCATATAAATTTAAATTATTATATAAAGGTAGTAAAGTCGGATTTACTCCTCAAAAATTTCATGAATTATGTGACGATAAGCCTCACACAGTTACTTACATTCATTAAAGTAAAAGGATCGGAAGAAATTCTTGGAGGATATAATCCTTTTAATATGGAAGAAATCTAATCTCTTTAGTGGCGAATAATGTCAAACTAAAGATAGTTTTATATTCTCTTTTAAGCATAAAAATAATTTTAAGGATTCAATTTTAAGTAAAGTAAAAAATATAGACCATGCAATATTTTTTAGTTCCCTCATTTAATGGTGACCTTGTAATTTCAATTAAAGATAAAAATGATAAAAGTTATAATTTTAATTTTTGTAAACTAACTGCAAATGAAAAGGAGATAAGAGATACAAAAGAAAACTTCTCAATTGAAGACTATGAAGTATTTCAAATTTTGAAAAATAAGAATATAACGTATTGATTTTTTATCCTTCATATATTGAAACTTTATGAATTTTCAAAAATTCAATTTTATTTTCGTATCAAAATATTAAATAAATATTAAAATATTTCTATAGTATATGATCAAAAATCGAATAAACATATCGATATCTATTTTTTTGCGGCTATTATTTTTTATAATAAACCTGAGGTTTCATTTAACAATCCACCACTACCGTTATCTCCCCGCTATCATATTTTTATTCGATCGATTAAACCCACCCAATAATATTTTTAAAAAAAAATAAATAATAAAATAATAAGAAATCTTGCAGAGCGATTCAAGCCGAAAGAAGAACCTAGAACAAGGCTAAAGGGTTAACAATTTCTAATCACAACGGCCTGAAATGTTTAATCAACGCAGGCCGAAGCCTAAAGAGGAGAAACCAAATGCTAAAATAATGAAAAAAAAAGAATGCAACATGAAGAGATAAAACCCGAAAGATAAAGAAAAAAACTTTACCTTTTTCATCCAAAATGATCGATACAAGTAAGGAAACTAACGCTAAAAATCAAAAATCAAAAAAAAAAAAAAATTAAATATAGAAACTTGAAAATGTGAGGACAAAAAGTCATTCGATCACTGCGGGGCAAAATTTGTCATAAGTCAAAACCTCCAGCTTTCCTGGAAACATTAACCCGAAAGTAAAAATTTTTGTGATTGTCCGCGTTCAAATAATCGAAATCGAACCTTAAATCTTAAGTCGATTCTACTTTATTTAATTTCCGATACCTAATCGGAAAGGTGTCAAATTTTAAATTTCAATTATTTATTATTAGCTAATGCTTGTTTTTCGCTTAACATAACTTTTTCGTACCAGATCCTATGATATCCTAGAAATATTGATGAAATTGTTAAATTAAATATTGTCTCCATAATTTCTAGAAGGTGGAAATTAAAAGTAATTTGCCATATACTGTAAATTAACGTGATAATAAATTTCATTCATTAGGGTAAATGAACGGATGAAATTCTATGGACATAATCCTTTAATATAAAGAAATTAGATTAATTGGTGAACATAATTTCATATACATATATGTATATATATATATATTTTAAGAATAAGGATAATTTTAAGCCATATTAATGATACATTACATATACAGAATATCATATTGAAATAATTGCGGTGCTATGATCTTTTTTTTATTGAAAAACTTAATATAATAATAAAATATGAAGTATTTCAAATGTAGAAAAATAATAATTTGTCATTATTTCAAGAACTACCTTAGAAAATTTAAATAAACTATTTCGTTAAAAATGATGCAAGTTATTATAGAATAAATATGAAGGCAAAAAATACTAAAATATATTTAAAGTGAATGATTTAAATTTATATGTTGTAAATTGAATAATTCAAAAGTGTTTTTAAGTGTTTTGAAAACGTTAACAAATAATAAATTCTGAAACTTTATAGGTATTGTAAATTACAAATCAGAACTTTGAAATAATAAATAAATCTAAATCAAAATTAATAAATATGATTGCGGTTACCAGCATTATTATCCTATTACTACATCAAGTACTCATTACACAACTGACGATTAATGATAATTGAATTAAAAATGATAACCTCGCTAAATCATAACCCTCAAATCAATCCGAACAGTTGACTGGTACTTTCCATGAACTTTTATCCCCACAGTCACAGAAACCACCATTGCTAGTGTTGGATACGTAGAAGTCGACATCATGTCCTTGATGCTTTGTCGGGTTGAAGCAACTCGAACAAAGCACAATGCTACTATCAACTGAGCAAGTCCTGAAATTTATTAACAAGAAAAAAGATTTAATAACATCCATCTAAAATCTTAGTGCATTTAAAATATTTTCATTAGACATACCAACATCGATAAATCGTTTCCCCATAGGAAAATACATGGCCACATATACCTGTGTGAGATCGAGGTCTAGCAATATAACTAATAGTGTGATTTCGAGGTGTAATAGTAGAACTAGTCTGATATTTATTTGTAGAACTAGTAGTCTGATATTTATTTTTAGAAGTAGAATTGGTATTATGAGATCGAGATCCAGTAGATCCAGTGGTTCCTGAAGAATTTCTAGAAGTAGAACTAGTATTGTGAGATCGAGATCCAGTAGATCCAGTGGTTCCTGAAGAATTTCTAGAAGTAGAACTAGTATTGTGAGATCGAGATCCAGTAGTTCCAGAAGTTCCATTCTGAGAATGATATTTGCAATTAAGGGGAATTCTCCAATAATCTGAGTCACCGCAGTCACACCATGCACCCGGATAGGAATTAGCGATTGAGATAACGTCATGCCCAACGTGATTTGATCCAGCATAGCAGCGATTGCAAATGACAGTATCATTGCGATTAGTGCACGTTCTATAATAAGAAAAGTGGAATTGTGAAGATTGAGGTTAAACATGCGGTATAATCGGGTTAAATGTTCGATGTTAATGCATACCTGCATTGGTAATATATTTCTTTAATAGCAATTTTCTTGCCACAATGGGAAGTCACACTCGTGTGTGCATTAGATGAGTGAAATTTGCAATTGAGAGGAAACTTCCAATATTCTGAGTCTCCGCAATCGCACCATACGCTCATGTTAGGATCCATGATATTGAAAGTGATAATGTCATGACCAATATGATTTGTTCCAGAGTAGCAACGATTGCAGAGAACAGAATTATTGCGAGTAGTGCACGTCCTACAATAATATGAAATCTTTATTATTTGCAAGGTTAATTTTTTTTTTTTCAAATCAATTGAATTCATGTCAAACCTGCAGTGATAGTATACTTCTCCCAGTGTCAAACTTTCGCCGCATGTCCGATCCTGAGACGATGATTCCGTTGTCTTTAAAAAAATCAATTTGAATGTTAATAATCAGATTATGAATATATGATATTAAAGTAGTAGAAGTAGCTATAAAAGTACAACTTACAACTGGCATTGGATTTTGTGGTATAGGATTCTTGTTAACATTTGATACATTTGATACACTTATATAATGTAAAATTCCAAGTTGAGCTTCATTAAGAGAGTCGTTCAACTCTTTAATTTGTTTAGAAATCTAAAATTTTTCAACACCATAATGAATTTTCATCTTTTCTTCACCCTGGATAAATTGAACTTATTTTCTCTACCTACCTCATCCGAATTGAAAATTTTTAAAAAATTTTTACTACCCCTCTTTTGGAATTTCAATAGAAACTTGCGACTTTCATCTAGTGCTCGCATCAAATTCTCGGTATTTATCTTGCCAAATGGGTAATCATCTGAAATGTGACGGGTATGAACTTCAAGGATCTCATAAATTGCATTTAAGCGGTTTTGCAATTTTTTGCATTGCTTGTTGTTTTGTGATGCCTCTCTGGCAATGTTTATTATCTCAATCACGAAACGGATTACTACGGAAATTACAGGTGCATGAGTTCCAAATCTATTGACAAAATTCACCACTTCCATGATAAAAGATGTTTATGTAAATTCAAATCGGTTGGGTGTTAGGTGGATTTTCAAACAAAGAAAGAAGAAAACAAAAGTTTCGACAAAAAAAAAAAAAGTGGCATAAATTCATAAGGTTGTTGCATGAAGCGTGTAACATTGTATACCAACTAAAACGTTGATTGTTCTCATTATTTGCTTATATATGACAATGATAGGCAATTATTTTGTTTCAACAACTTTCCACCACTAACTGACCAATCAAGTTATGAAACTGCGCCAAATTCGTAACCCAATCAATTGAATAATAAAAAATTATCTACCAAAAATTAGATAATTGAAATTTCTCAATTAAAAATGCATTGTATAACGTTAAATATTAATAAAAGAAATAAAGGAAATTACTATTATCTACATTTTATAATAAAAATGGTTAGCCTTCAAATTTAATTACTAATTTTACAATTTAAAATTTAAAATTGATGTGTTATAACCCTTTATAACAAAAGTTACATAAATATTAAATAAATATATATCAATCTGAATACTTCTGTCTTGCACTAAACGTCGTCGTAATATATACATAAGAAGGATGTAATTGAGAGAACTCTCCAATGATCCGAATCACCAACGATTGTGAAAACGTAAAGTCATATCTAACGTGATTTGATCCACAATGATTGCCAAATTCATATACACGTCTATAACAATAATGAGATGTTGAGCTGTTGCGTCTGAATTAGTCAATAAAGGAGATATATATTCGAATTGAAAGTCGAATATGGGATTAACAATGAAGACCCACCTCCCAATATTCTGTGTCGCCGTTATCGCACCATACGCTCATCGAGCATGATCCAAAGAAGCTAATACGTCCGGAGCATTAGAAAAACGTTTACCAAGTAGGGACCAGTCATTTTCTGTAATTTCACCATCCCGCAAGCGTAATAGAAGTTCTCTGAAGTCTCTTTGCTCATCCGAATCACCTGACTGACGCTGTGATAGGATAAGAGGATATAAATATCATGCCCAATGTGATTTGATCCAGCGTAACAACGACTGCAGAGAACAGGATCTTAGTGAGTATGGACGTCGTGCAAGAGAATTTGTTCAAAGAATTTAATCCCTATCAGTGGTAATACAATTCCCTAGAATCAAATTGCATTTTAATGAATTATATATATGTTACATGGAGTACAACTTATTTTTGGCATTGGTAGTTGCGGTTTAGGATTTGGCTTAGGGCCAAATTCAGGACTCGATTTCGCATTCATATAAAAATTAATCGACTCAAAGCTTCATTCAGATCTTTGATATAATATCTTAAATTTTTGTAATGATTGCTGCGCCACAAAGTTTAATTAAGTAAATTTAGTATCGGCTCAATGGATTATAGGTATTAAACGGAACTTTTGTCAATTTATTTTAATTTATTTTTTAAATTATAATTGATTATAAACTTTAAAAAAAAATAATTCAATTGATGGTTACATCACCATTTTAGGTCGTAATTGCGCTAACCAACTATGCACATCAAGGATCAAAATATTTAAAGAAAAAGCCTTCTAAATGTTGTATCGGGGTCAAGAAGACAATGTTAGAATTTAACTTTGTATTTTATTCAGCAATATCCAAGATCTCAAAAAGGATAATTTGTATATCGAATGCTAAAATATTATCTTTTATTGCGAATTAAACTAAAACTCCGACATAACCTCATAATATAGCGGATCATTATTTTTCTAAAATTAAATTGGACAAAGAACTAATTAATACATTATAAATTTATAGTGAAACAGGTACGAGATATATATACTTACAATAATATCTTGTTTGCACCATTGCTTTAATTTGGCGCAAGCCCAATCTAAATCCAATAAGAAGGCCAGTTCATACCATTTTCTTGCTTCAACTAAATCCTTATCAACGTGAAATCCATTTTCATATTCTTCGGCAACAATTTTCATTGCCTTTTCATACCTATTAGAAGCAGATTTTATATACCATTTAAACGCTTCATTTTCATCCTTCTTTTCGTTATATTTACCATATCCATCGATTTCTTTTTGATAACATTTTGCGACCTTATATTGAGCAATCATGAATCCATTAATGGCAGCTTTTAAATACCATTGAAAAGCGGCAAGGCTACTCTTGATAGCACCAAAACCCTTCTTATAACAACAGCCAACTTTATATTCAGCACTAATATAACCACCTTGTGCGGACTTCATATACCACGTAAATGCTTCCTTACTACCATCTTTAAACAACAAATCCGTTTTACCAAAACAATGAACTGAAATGGTACTATTATAATAATATTCGGCCAACATAAATTGACACCAGATGTTCCCTTCGTTTGCATACTTTTTCCATAACGCGAATGCTTGTTTAATGTTTTTTTTGGTACCACATCCAATAAAATGAGCGTTAGCCAGTAAAGCTTTTGATATTGGATCATTATTGTCTTTTCCCATCGTATAACAATGAAATGCTAAGATTTTATTTTGTAATGTCCCTATACCGTTCTCGTAAAGCATCCCAAGCAATGATTCATAATTTTTTTGCGATGGAATATTTTTGACTAGTTCAAATATTGACGTTGGATTTAATTGTTTCGATTTTAACCAATATTGAAATTGTTTTGGGAAGCTAATTAAATCTATTCTAATCTGTGATTGATAAAATTCAAATAGTTCCTCAATAAAACTAAATTGCGAATTAATACTAGGCGTGTCAACTACTCTATTATGGTTGAGATTATTTAAACTTGATATTGATGAATAATGTGATAAAGGAGATGTGAATTTAGTGGATAAATTTGATGCTAAAGTGTTTCTATAACAAGAATTTGATAACGGTGACGGTAATTGAGATGGTTGATAATAAAAACTTATATTTGTGGAACAACTTGCCCTTGGATTTATAAGAATTGGATTCTCTTGAAATCCAACCCCACTTCTTCTAAATGATTTCGCATTATTTTCAACCACTTCTGCTGAACTATGTCTTCTTTCTTTTTTATCTTGTTCGGATAAGGATTTCACAACGAAATGTTTAAGATCTGGAGAAGAAATCGAATTACGTGGTTGATTTGACGTTTCTTCGTCGATCTTGTCCTTCTTGACCGGTGGTTGTTCTATGTTCTTTTGTTCGGAATTCATTTTAATGATTCCTGATCGTTGCAATTCTCGTCGAATTTGCTCTTGTTGTAATTTCGTTGAATTTTGAGGGAAGGTGTCATATGTTATTTGTGAATCACCCACGATCTGATCAGAATCGGACATTTTCTCCTCTTGTAATATTGATTGTAATTTGGCAATTGCCGTCGAAAGTGAATAACGTTCTTCAGGATTATACTTTGTTAAATTATTAATGGTTTCAAGATAATCTCCAGGACAATCTTTTGAAATTTTTTCAACTAAACCCTGAATAGTATTAATGTTCGATTTTTCTTTTTCTATCTCTTCTTCGTCCATATTTTCATATGGAATCATCCCGTTGCATGCAACTGTATATAGAAATTGGAATTTTTAAACTTTGTTTAATCTGTTGGAACAAAGAAAATAAATAAATTGATAGCACTTACCGCTCCAAAGAATAAGTCCACAAGAATAAATATCAGACAAATGAGATTTTCTGAAAGGAAAAAAAAAAAATTTTTTTAATTCAAATTTCACGTTAAAATAAAGTGGAAACATACAATCGAAAAAGAATACTTACTCCTCAAAGCACATTCTCATTTTTTCATCTTTACAAATCCTCTCAGGGGAAAACCAATATAAGGAATCTCTCTCGACACCATTTTCAACATCACTCTTATTATCTCCTTTATTATTATTAACCTTAAAATCCATTAATTTGATTGTACCATCCTCCATAATTAATATGTTTGATAATTTCAAGTTCAAATGAAAAATATGTTTATCATGACAGTATTCCAGTCCCAACAATATTTCGTTTGATAATTTAGATTTTTCTTGCCATGTTAATGAGGATGATTTCAAGTAATCATGTAAATTGCCTTTTGATGCGTATTCGAATATTAAGGATAATTTTCGATTTGGTAATGACATGATCCCAAGACATTTTATTATATTTGGATATGAACGTAATCTGTAATATATATAAAATTCATGTCGTGTCGTTTCTTGATCATGCTATTTACTCGTAAAAAGAAAATAAAAAAAAAAAAAATATATAAGAATTTATAAAAATAATAATTATAAGAAATATTATATATAATATATATATCTTTTAAAAGAAAGAAAAAAAGAAAGAAAAAAAAAAACTAAATGCATTAAAAAAAAAAAAAAATGCACAAAAAAATTTTTTTTTTTTTTTTTTGTACCTCGCTTAATTTGATTGCAACATCTTGTCCCTTAAAATTTCCTTTATAAACTTTGGTTTTACCCCCATTATTCGATATGGGATTTTCATTTCTAGAAACTTCATCTTTCTTAATATACATCTTTCGTAGTGCCGCCATCTTTTCTGTCTTTATACTCTTATTTTAATATTAGGTTAAGCTTATTATATTATATTGACTAGTTCAAAAAAAAATTTCGGAAAAAAAATAATTTTGGGGAAAAAAAAGGGATTTTTTTTATTTTTCGTAAAATGAAAAACGCCTCTGATTATAACCTGATAGAACAATGATATAAATAATTTGCTTACGCATGCAAATGATCCACTCGTGCTTTCCCGCTAAAAAAAAATCCTTTCTTTAAACATTGCTATTGTATGTATATCAACAAAATACCAACCCTAATAAAGTTCAACAATTACCAGAAATAAAGTCAATATTTCATTTGTGCATGTTACATGAATGTTTGTAAAAATATCAAATGTTGATACTTTTTTGAATGAATGAGACGTTTACTTAATTTAGATTGTAAGGGATTCTTCACTGTTGCGGAAAATTTCTAAACTATAAAGCATTAAAAAAGAAAATCATTTACGGCTTTATTTCCCTTACTACTTTCTGTGCTTATCAGCAATTTACCGCGACTTACCGTTACTTGCCGCAGCAATTTTTTTTTTTACGACTGGAGGACGAAGTTAACGATGGGCTAATTATATCATTTCATTCACTGTGATAGATTTCTTTTATTATTTACTACCCTCACTCGTAAAAGTATCGACATATGCTAGAGGCTGAAAATCGCGATATGGTGTCCCATACACATTATCTGCAATTTTTTTTGATGTATATTGATGCATAATCGATGCAAAACAATTACAAGTTACAGCAAATATTAAATTATGCTTGATCATGCATACGGTAGCTGACATAAGGATTGACCAACGACTTGATACCTTAATGGCACTCTTTTTTTTAAATACGCGTTTTTTTTTCAGTGATGCTCGTAAGTTATGTGTATATAATTTTTCTTTCTTCACAAATAAAACTATAATGAAAAGATTTATTAAAAAGAACCCCTACATTTCATTTGGACTACACCCGTGTCCACAGTCTTTACATCACCATCTTTACCATTTGCAAGAATATCTTTTATTTCAGACCAGAATTTACGAATGCTTATTTTATCAGGAACGCGAATATTTCGATATCAGTAATTGTTATGACTGCTTTCTGATCAATCTTTGCAAAATTACCCAAGGAATTTATTCATTGCCCCCAAAAATATGACTGGAGCTTCAAGTTGTTAATTTGCGTCTGGATAATATCAAAGAGGTTGGTGAAGTTGGGTGATTAACGATTGTAGCAGTTGTCTAGCATTTCAACAAACTGGTTATCTAGGTTATACGATCAAAACTATTTAACCTCATTTCACCTGATATATGCATTCTTAATAATAATATATGCTAATAAGTTATAAAAAGCCGGCTTAAGGTTATTAACATTTGATGACGATCAGATTTTTTTTTAGCCGAGTCCCGATTTGAAATTACAAATGATATTGTAAAGACAAAAAAATAAGCTACTTAGATAAAAGCTTCGGAGGTGATCTTTGATTTTTTTTTTTTTCTTTGAATATTCGGAGATGAAATACCTTTTCTGATTGCAATGAGAAATATTCGACCTGACCTAATGATTAAATACTTTAAATGGGAGAAAATTTTAATTTATTACTAACGAACTACCTACTATATTGGGCTAAGCTATGGATATTCGCATCAAAAAAGTTTATTTGTTTCTTGGGTAAGTGGTTCCTGTGAAAAACGCTGTAAAATTTTTTTTTTAATATCATATTTTCTAATACTTCTTTTTTATCATGTCATGTCTACCTCTTATCAACGAGAAACTGAAAACTTTCCATACGAAAAATATCTCGAGTTCTTTCCTTGTAAAAGTGATCACTCCAGCATTTTGTTTCAACAGTTATGTGATAGAGAAAAAGTAGGCACATCACACCTTTGTTGTAACAATAAAAAAAAAAAAAGATAGTATAGTGGGATAAAAAATTTAGACGGGATGGGGATTGCGTTTATCAACCTGGTATTGGTAATCTGTTGACTCTGAAAAGAGGATCGACTATGCCACTTTCTTTACTCTTAACTAAAATTATAACTTTTCGGTATTCGGACATCATTCTTTGCCTTAACTAAAGTTTATTACTGGAATTTTCCTGCATCCGCCATCTTAGTTTAATTTTTTGTCTGATTATTCTTACCATGAAATGATTCTCAAATGAATTTACTTTTTTATAGGATAACGGGTAAGATCGTTTAGTTCTTATGGAATTAACCATCACCATTACCATCATCACCGTCACCTAGTTATGAATTAGGAAAGAGACAAAGTATTGATATCATTGTTATCATACTTCAATTCTTGACTAACCATTTGTTGTTATCGATCTACTTTATGAATCTACTAATAAACAAGGTGTTCGCCCTCTACTTTGAACATCACCTCACCCGTTATAATCAACCTATCGTAAGCAAGAAAACTCCGAGATTAATAAACCGAATGAGATAAATAAATAATAATAAATTATATCTAGAAAATATGATAAAGACAACTCCTTACTTCGCGGCTGATTCTCTTTTTGATGTTCTTATTTTAGTTCTTGTATCATCATGAGCTGATTTGGCTGGGTAATGACTCCATGTCTATTATCATTGAATTTAAAATTGTTCATGGTAATAATATTGGCTCGCGAAGGATTAATCACTGTATAGTTTTACAAAATTCCGTAAAACTTTAAAAATTGGGTTTATTTTTTGGACCTTTATTGCATAATAATCCACAACATTAAAAATTAACTGTCATAAAATTAATATCTTAATGTTACAATATTTCCAGAACTTGATTTTCCTAGCAAACCTCCCATATTATACGATATTCAAAAATATTTTTGATCGGTCAATCGTTTTTGAAAAAAAAAAAATTTTTTAACCAAGTGAATATCACATCATCAGTACATTCAGAACCACTTTACAAAATGGTTTGTCTTACCATTAACCTTAGAATTAATATTTCCGACTCTCTTAGTAATGATCGAACTTGTCGACTCATGATGCTTGAGTGATAGCAAGCATTTATTCAAGTTATTATTTTCGAGCCACACAAAGATTAAAATGAAAGTTTCATGATACTAAATTTACAATAATCGAATTTATATTAAACAGATTAATTATTCGATGTTAGTAATTGTTTAAAGATGCAGAATTCATTAATAGATAAGCTAACTATAATAAAGTCAAAAAAAAAAAAAAAAAAAAAAAATACTTGACTACAATCATAATTCAAACCGTTCTATATCATCGGTACCCTCTTTAAAGTCAGAAAGAAGTCGGATTTTCGTGAGTAAATAAGGCAACCGCGCAAAATATTGTTAAAAAAAAAAAAAAAAAAAAATACATGAAAAACGCGTCAATGCAATGTTAACATTTATACCCTCAGGAATTGATTCATACTTCAAGTTAGTTTTTATATACCGCAGAACATACCACAGAATATCACAGTATCACATTATTTGTCGTCGGTGGCACGGTTAAGATACCGTTGGGTAAGAGCGAAGGAAAGTTACGCCACTTTGACCGTGGTAACTTAATATCAAAGATACTAGAATTTTCTTTCGAGTTTAGTAATTATGTCACGTGATAAAATGGAACAAAAATTTAAATTAAATAAATTAATTTCAATATTTTATAATTGGAGATTCACATTCTGTAATAATTCATCTATAAAATAATATACTAAATGAACGGAGGATTTAATAATTGTGTAATTGCAGAGTAAACCATTCATAAACACGACCGTTATTAAGTCCGGAACGATCTTAACTAAAAAAAAATATTGCAAAAGCCAATCAGCATCGACCCAATTATTCATCCGGACATTTTTTTCACTTCGGACTAATAATATATCCGCGCAATAAGAATCTCGAAAAATTGAAAAATTTTTAGAATGTGTAAAAGTGCATTATTTATTAATGAAGAGGTTTTTTTTTTTTTAAAAAAAAAAAATATATTTATTAAATAATCTAAACGAATTATTATATCATTGCCTATCAATATATGTAACACCTGATATATGTCGCCGTACTAAAATCTTGGATTATTATGATTATGATTGTTTGAATTATACATTTGGTTGTATCCTTGATTATAACCGCCTTGGGCGAAATTATTATTATTATAATTATAATTTTCATGTCTGCGAAAAGAAGAGGTATCACTCATATTATCAACACTTCGTTGGTGTAACAAAGGTAATGTGGATGAACTATTATTATTATGTTGAGGATAAATCGTTCTTTGCTGCTGATGATCATTATTATATTGAGGGGGTCTAGGATGATTCACTTGCTGTAATTCAAAAAATTCTGTCGGTGCGTTACGAGGTGGATAATGTTGTCGTTGTTGGTGATATGTTTGCGGTAAATTCATTGTTGTGGGGGTGGGGGTGAGGGGACCAGAATTTTTATATGTGGTATCAGAATACATACTAGTGGTATCGCTATAATCTACGTAATAACCGGGGTTTTGTTCTTCGTAGTAAGCTTGGTCATCCCAATTCAATTCTTTTTCATCGATCGTTTGAATGTTGAACATTTGATTACGATCACTTTTGATCATTGACATAGTTCGGATCGTACCGCTT